CAAAAATTTAAGTCCCCCGCCCCCCACGTGCATGCACATACAACGCAAACACGCATCGGATGCGCCTACGTGCAAAAACGAAAATTGCGCCACACATGTTAGATATCGTCACGAGCGTCAGAGTAAGAACAATAATTCTAGGCCCATCAATCACTGTTAGCACTAAACGGAGCTGTAAAAGCGTTTAAAGCGACACCTATGGGAAATTTTGGTTATTGTAGTTTTTTTGCGGTTACACGGACGCATGCAGTTTTAAGGCTTGACATATTTGGTATCTATTTACCTGGCACGACCCCGTCTTTTATATTTTACCAAAAAATTGTGTATTATATTCTGTTTCTGTGCATTGAATTTCATTTTAGTGTATTTTATCCTAAAAATACTTGTTTGATAAACATTTGCGCAAATACCGTGCAACATAAAAAATTGCAACTAGCATCTTGTATTCTACAGGGCCTCTGCTTTCAGAAAATCTATAATTGTTTGGGGGTCTGAAGCTGTTTTCTAGCCAAAAATTAAGATTTTATCATGTATGTGCAAATGTAAGAAATTGCTCTGGGCAGCAAATGGTTAAGTTGACCACCACTGGCCTAGGGTCAGTATATGGCAGCTGTCATTTAGTATTCTTTGTCCACATCTTGTGAATGAGTCTTACTTACCACCGAAAGATTTCCTATGTCAGCTTACAAACAGCATCCCACACAAAACTAACATTTAAGTTTTTAGATCTAGGAAAGTTAAATGGTTTCTATATCTTTTGGCGATCCAGGTGTTGAGGTCTCCACATTCTACTTTTGGGCTGGGCACAGTTAACGGGAGGTCCTTTACTGAGGGTAGAAAAAAATCAGTACATTGGTTATTACAGAACCCAGCTTTTGGTGGGCTCTGAAGGCAAGTGTATACAATTGTCCCCCTACACTCACTAAACCCTAAACTCAACCTGACCCTTAAGCTGGCCAAACATTGGCAATTTTTCTCATTTAGCCCCACGACTTAAACAGGAAACATTGCATGATTCCCAATCGCGTGGATGGAGAAATCCCCCCCCCCCCACCGGCCTCTTGTATTCTGACAGTGGCAGTGTACCACTGACCAAATACCTATACAGTGGCTGGTTGCAGGCACTTTTCAGCTGAGAATCTTCCTTAGGCAAGAAAATGTTTTGTTGAATGGGGGGATCCCAATGGAGCAACACACTACTTTGAGCACCTTCTGACTCGAAACTTCACCAGTGTATGGCCAGCTTCTGGCTGACCCTAATCTTCCTCTCAGCTGTGCCCTACAAGTTATCCAAACCCCTAAATTATGAGCAAATTCATCCTCAAGGGAAGCAGGTCTCTAAGCTTACCCTGTTTGCCCCTTCCACCTACAGCACCTGCTAACCCTATCTTCAACTACAGAGTGAGGACTTGTTTTAAAGCTCATTTCCTGCTTGTTAGGAGTATGTAAATATTTGAATGTCAGTTGGCTCGGCACAGGCTGACTTTCAACTTACCATATGATGAAAATGCATAAGCAGTGATTACCTTCAGTGAAACCTCCATCTCAGTAGACCCAGAGATACGCATAGTCGACATTATAACTGTAATTTGAACCTGGCCCTTCCCCCTACTGCCTAATGTGGGTTTCTATTGATTAATTATGGCATCCATCCCATTACATTGCTAAAAAATAGGTTTGGAAATTGGAAGGCATTGGGGCCAAACTCCACACTTATGGGAAAATACATATAAATGAATTTGCTTATATTTTTGGGTGTATTAGTTATTTTGAAATGCAGTTTTACTGAATACTGAAGGTATGCTTTGCATATTGATTTTTTTTATCATACTGAGTCTAGATTGCCATGGTTTGTGGCAGATCATTTTTTTTAAATTAAAATATTTCTACTATTTAAATTCTATTGGGCTACATGCTTTGTAGTTTCCATTTATAGTTTCAATATGTCTTACTTTATAAGGAAATAGAAAGGATATTAATAATATATGTGCAAAGTAAAGCATTCCACAGCAATTACAAAAACAAAAATCAGTGACCTGGCTATAAATAGTCTTATTTTTTGGGGTCACTGTACTTTGCGTGCTACTGGCACCAAATACCTGTGCCTTTTCTGTAGAATTAATGCTTTAATTTATTAACAATCAGGTCAGAAGAGGAGATGGTGACTTTCATGCATCATATGGACTCCATATGGAATATATGTGGAAAGGATGTAATACAAGCCTTTGACCTTTCTGAGTTCCACACTGTCTGTGATCTTGGAGGTAACATTGCAGTAAGATTTTATTTTATATGTGTTAATGTGGTGATTCTGCTACTCGAGTAAGCAGAAAAGAGCCATGATTAGAATAGTCTGAGTCATAAGCCAAATCTATATGCAGGATACAAGTCGCATGGCGGCAGTCAGCCTAACTGCCTGGAATTACTCATTACACTGCAGCTTCTTTGAAAGAAAATTCAGTAACATTGCAGAAACATTAGACTCATTTGTTTTGTTTATTTTGCCAGCTACTGTACATAGTCTACTGTATACTTAATATATCCATCAGTATTAACCTTCAATTAACTAAAAAAAATTCTGTTTAACAGGGTGCTCGGGAGCTCTTGCAAAACAGTTTCTATCCACATATCATGGATCTACGGTCACTATAATGGACTTACCAAAAGTGGTACAAACAGCTAAGAAACATTTCATAACAGATAATGATCCAAAAATTGCTTTCCTTCAAGGTATGTTTTATTTTACCCTGTAATATGATATCAAAATCACACAAACTGGAACAGGAAGAACAAGAGTAAGCTAGCAAGATTATGTTTCCTGTCATGTTACCTAGCAGCACTAAGATATTCATTCATTTAAACATTCATATTTATTCAAACATATAAATAATGCTTCTAAAGTATAATCCTTGTTATTTCTCTTGCAACTTAGCTAACATTATTAAGTAAAGTAGCCGAAGTGCAATAGTGCCCCAATAATGTAAAACATATTAAACCTCAAAAATTATACAGTGTCTACCTGGCCTCCAATATTTTCTACATTCACAAAACTTCCTTAATAATATCACTATCTTTTAGATGTTAGCACTGGTAAATCTTTTTTCCTTATCGGGTAGCTTTCAGTGCTAATGCATTATGAGCTAAGTGTAGCACTTCAGGAATTAATTTTCGTTTAAGGGGTAACCATCACTTTAGAGTTAGGAAAAGGTCAAGATTTGAAGGGTAAAAGTTTAGGGGATTTATCATGTTAAGCAATGTTTCACTTTAATGGTTCAGATAAACTGTTAGGAGTTTGTTTTAAGGGTTATGGTAGGGGTCGATAGTAAGTATTATTGTTAGGTATTAAAAGTTCATTTTAAGGGTTATGGTAAGGGTCAATGGTATGTGTTATTGTTAGGTATTAAGGGCTCATTTTAAGGGTTAGGGTAGGGGTCAATGGTATGTGTTATTCTTATGTGGTAAGAGCTCATTTTAAGGCTTAGGGTAGGGGTCAATGGTATGTGTTCTTGTTAGGTATTAAGAGTTCATTTTAAGGGTTAGGGTAGGGGTCAATGGTATGTGTTATTCTTAGGTGTTAAGAGTTCATTTTAAAGCTTAGGTTAAAATAGGATGTTACCGTCCCACTGCTCGCCATTATAATGTATGCAATTTAGCATAAATCTCAACTTAAATACTTTTTTTTTTTTCTATGTGGTTACGGGAGTCCGCCCCCCCCCCCCGCCGGCAGTGCCTAGTGCAGTGGACACCAATGGGTGACGTCACTGCCATTCCCATTGAATTCAGCCTCCTTGTCGTCCCCTCAAGGGAGGGGCCAGGGCTTTGTGGACATTTTAAGTGAGCATGTGTTTTAAGTTATAGTTGTTGTATTTACCTTAAAGCCTAAGTTTAGACATAAATAATATCATTAACATTGCTACATTTTCTAGGGGATGATCTAGTTCAGTTTAAATTTTGCATAGTTACATAAGATCTTCAGCGCTAATAGCAACCAGAGAAACCACTCGAATCACGGTATTATCACCAACCACTTCCCCAGGCATGGCAGCCCTCCAGAAGGAGTATGAGACCTCCTCCACAGACCATGTCAAAAACAAAAGAGAAAAAGAGGTGCCATTATGATAGCCAGAAGGAAACACTGATAGAGAACCAGTTCACATACAGCAGCTGCTCAGACTTGCAGACTGTTTTGCTTCTCAGTCTGCAGGTCTGAGCAGCTGCTGTATGTGAACTGGTTCTCTATCAGTGTTTCCTTCTGGCTGTTTCCTTCTGGCTATCATAATGGGTCTATGTGTCATGGATCGGGACTCACGGGTATGAACTGGAGTCCGGTATGTGGACCCTTTCCACTGCACTGGCAGGGACCCTCAGAGAAAAGGGTACAAGCAGTGTAGGCTGACGACTTCCAGAGCTGGAGTACAAGCAGGGGAACAGAGCAGGGGAACTGAATGAGGTAGTGGAAGTCAGCTAAAGCTGGAAGTTCAAATACATGGCAGGGTGCTGCAATGCTGAGTAGGTGGCATGGTATGCTGAGTAGGTTGCAGGGGTTCCCCAGGATGTGGAATCTAAGAGCCAGCCGGTATTCGCCAGAGCTCCTGATGGTGGAGATGGGTTGGCTGCGTGCTGACCCCAGGTCACAATCCCTAGGTGCACCCAACTCACTTAACAGGTACAGGGTACAAATCAAAGGTTAGGGACAGGCTGAAGACTTCCAGGGATCAAGCGAAGTATAGCGTAGACTGTAGACAGGGATTTCCAAGGACAAAAGGGAAGCACAGTGCAGCCTGTAGACAGGGATTTCCAAGGACAAAAGGGAAGCAAAGGTTTGGTACACGGGAAAACTTCCAGGAATTCAGGGTAAATCACAAATGGGGACTCGGCAACTAGCTTATGAAAGCATTGCTCGGGCAGCGTGCCGTTCGCTGCCCTGGGTTTAAATAGAGACAGGAAGAGGGAGGATCCACAGGATTGGCCACAAGTGGACTGCACTGATTGGTCGAGAAGCTGCATAAGAAACAGCAGGAGAGGTTGGCCGATGCCTAAAGCTTGCAGACAGGTCAGGTTTAGAGCACATGCTGGAGGACTACAACCCCCAGCACAGCCCTGCATGCCCGCAGAACCAGGGGTAGGAGATATGTATATACTTAAACTACAAGTAACAGCTCAGCTGCAAGTCTGCAGCTGAACTGTGACAGTATGGATGCACTTGACTTTAAGTATTATGTGAGTATATGAATGTTTTTATACAAAAAAAGTTCCTTTATTATACAATATCACAGGGAAAGACGCCTCTTTTTGTCTTTTGTTTTTGACATGAATATTTACCATAATCCTGCAGTCTTCTCTTCAGTTCCAGTTGTAATGACCTAGATGAGCCACTGACATGGGAACCCAAACTATGACTTACTCCACTTCTACACTGGTTATAAATGAGAGTCCCCAGACTGCTTCTGAATGTCAACAAACTGGACCGGGATCCCAGGTGATGTAATTGACTAATATTTGGTCAGTGATGTCACCTGTGATGCCTGCCGGATTGTTTATAATTTGAAACAAGCCACTGAGAAGCTGTTATTTAGTGGCAGTACTGATACCACCGCTAAACGAATGACTTCCAGCTGCATCTTCCCCTCACTTTGGAAACATTTCCTTTCACTTCCTATTGTGTTTCCAGGTTACAACATAACACAAACAGCTTACGAGAAGAAGAAACAAAAAACTGACAAGGGTTCTAACCATTCTCTCCAAAACCAAAAATGTTTGGTATATATCTATATAGATATAGGTATATATATCTATATCTATATAGATATATATATATAGCTGTTTTTGATGTACCCAGCACTATATTTGGACTTCATAGTCTTGCACACATGGTATGGTATGAATGTCATTTTAAAAGACTAAACTTTCAGATTATAAATGTAACAGTTTTCATTCACCACAAGCTTTCCTGTGACACTTTATAATTTAATAATGTGTTGTAAATGTAATGTTCTGGTGTAATTAATTAGTTTCTCCCAGTCATTGTTCCACTTTGACATTAATTGTTAAATAATGTCCATTCTTCTTTTTTTATTGTGTGACACTATATTTGTTTTTTTTACCAAAGGAGATTTTTTTAATGATGTCATCCCTGAGGCAGACTTATTTATTATGGCCAGGATTATCCATGACTGGGTAGAAGAAAAATGCCTGCAGCTGCTGAAAAAGATTTACCAATCCTGCAGACCTGGTGAGATCATAGTCTGTAGGAAGATGGCAATTGATAAAGTATTCTGTAACTGTTACATAACCCATACAGTCTGGTTCACATTGAGTGTTTTGTAGCGCTTTTTCTGCCCGAAAAAATGCTCACAAAATATGCCGCCCAAAAATCCCATTAATTTTGATGGCCCTGTTCACGTCTGAGCATTTTGTCACAATAAGCAAAACGCTTGTCGCTGGAAAAAGTATATGAGCTTTTTTCAGCCATATTACAGCTCGTTTTGGCCCCTAGACTCAACAGGAAATGCTGGAAATGAGCATTTGCTGTATTTTTTGAAAATTTTTAATGCGCGTTTTATGCGTTTGCTCATTAACATCAATGAGCTACAATCTGCTCACAAAACCTCGTAATTTGATTTATGCGCATAAAATGCATAAAAACGTGCATCAAAAAGTGTGTAAAAATGCCTAGGTGTGAACCCAGCCTAACTTTGAAGAGATTTCCTCTTAAATCCTTAAAAGGCCGAATGTTTGGGGAAATCTCCCCAGAGAGACATAAATGGCATTACCTACGCTATCCAAAACTGTAAAAATGTTTGGCTTTAGATTAGGGATGTACCGATACTAGTATCGGTGCCGATGCGAGTACTCGTACACGCCCAAATGCTCGGATGCCTAGCCCGAGTCATTACATGCTGCCCGGCTTCCTGATTGGTCGCAGCGCCGACTTTCTGATTGGCCGGGAAGCAGCCTTTATGCTCCCTTGTTACCTCCATGAGCATCCCTACTTTAGATTAACACATGCATGTTAATGCAGGCAAAGGTGTGAAGGGCCCCAAAAGTTCATAGCAGCTTAAGACAAGTTGGTACTCAAGAACAAACGTAAAGGGAAGGAAATGTCTTTATTACTAGCTCCGTCAAATGTTTCTGTTCATTTCCTTACCTGCACTACAACAGGTAGAATCTTTTCTCTTGCTACAACAATCACACATTTCTTCCTGCAGTTTTGACAAATCAGATGTTCATTATTTTACATGTCATGTTAGTAAGACAAATTGTTCCATCTGTTCTTTATAAAGGAGGTGCCTTGCTGCTAATTGAAGTCCTCTTAAATGAAGACAGAAGTGGCCCTCTGACTTCCCAGCTGTATTCACTGAACATGTTGGTACAGACAGAAGGCAAAGAGAGGATGCCATCTGAGTATAGCAAGCTTCTCACAGAGTCTGGCTTCAGGGATGTTCAAGTCAAAGCAACTGGAAAGATATATGATGCCATATTGGGAAGAAAATAAGTTGTGGATTTCCTGTTTGCGGCAATGATTGTTTGTTATGATAGAGCTGTAGTATTAATGCTGCATGAATGATTACACTAATAAACATTTTACAGTTCTCACTTTTGGCTAAAATGTGTGTTATTTCTATATATCCCATAAATAAGCATGTGGGTATTAAATAATGTTTTTCTGGATAGCTGAGAGATACTGACCAGTAGATGTCACCAAAGTTTCAGTTTTATTCTCTACTTAGAGATCTTCTGTTATTAGGATAGGGAGTGTGTTAAAATAAAATTTGCTTTATATCAGTCTGGCTTTAAAACATGTATGATATAAATGGGGAAGTACTACATATTTGCACCAAAAAAATCCAGATTGTCAATTAATCTCTACCCTTGGTTTAAAATTCAGCTCCAGCTAAACTTTTATTTTGTTTTGGATTAAGCAGGTAGCGGTTAGTGCCTTTGTCTGGTTTTATTGCTATTAATAGCAATACTAATTTTCCAATCATCATGGCTGTTAACTGTAACTTACAAATTAAAGAATTAGAAACTGTACTGGAATCCACTACTATATAGAACAATAGGAGAGGGGGTAAGATAGGGTTTTTGATTCTATGTATTGTCAAGTTCAAAGGAAATGCATATATATATATATTGAAGAATTGCTGGTCTCAGCTTAAAGGCACACCCTTGGATTATGAGAGGGGCTAAAGTTATTGCTTTATTTAAGCAGATAGGTTTTTTTTGTTGCTGTTTGGGTTGCATGTGTAAACCCTATCTTTCTCTCCCTTGGATTTTGAGCCAATAAATCTCCGCTGATGAGTCGGTGAATGATTTGGGGCAGCAATTAGCCAGTGCACCGGTAGAAAGGCTAGGAGGCCCATTAAACTCAGCAGCACTATAGGGGGTTCTCTCTCTCTATCTATCTATCTATCTATCTATCTATCTATCTATCTATCTATCTATCTATCTATCTATGTAGATAGATAGATAGATAGATAGATAGATAGATAGATAGATAGATAGATAGATAGATAGATAGACGGACATACATACATACATACATACTAACACATAAAATAAACCCAAACCATACATGTTTCCCTATCCTATGTATAAAGAATTAGGGGATAAAGTGTGTGTGTGGGGGGGCTTAAAACTGTTTTTATTTTTTGTCATCTATGTCTCATTACACATTAGGCATATTTCCCTTCACCTCCTGTCCTGTAGATTCAACAAGTGAGTGTGACAGCATATCTTTCCAGTGTCAGGACAATCCTCAGTTGTCATGGGAAATGAGTGTTCCCATTGCAACATCATGTTCTGATAGCAACTCAAAAATGCGGACTTACCCTCTCTTACATTCCCAAGGACATGAGATTTAGACAATTAGAGAGACTGAATTTCCCTTATGGGGATACAGACAGTAATAGATACCTGAAATTGGTTCTAATCCCTCACCATTCTATCTAAATCTAAAAAAAAAAAGAATAGCCTTTAGTTATAATTAAAGACTGTACTATCCAATCATATGTAGGTATTGCATATATTGCATATATTGTAACGGCTAAAATCCATTGGGTACTTTAATATTTCACAGATTCATCCAAACACGAATGTTCTACTACATAAGCATTTGATTTTGAAACACCACATTGGAGCACAGTGCTCTTTGTTTTTAAGATATTATACATATACAGTATACAGTGTATTACAGTCCTGATCTAAAAAACAGATCACTCTGAACTCCTTAAATTTAGACTGCTAGCCTTTTAGCAGGTTCATTTGTGTATACACATTCCTGTAGTAATTACTTCTAAGAAGCAATGGTAACTCTATATTTGTTTTCTGTAGAACACAACCAAAACACGTTCCCCAAAATGATCAAACTGTAATACGTAGGCACATGTCAAACATAGAAGAGACATAATATATATGGCCGCCACATGAGAATCCTGAACAAAACAAGATCTTGCCAATGTCATTGCTGGTGTTTGAAAAGACAAGAGTAGTCCTCACATCCTGAGGCAGTGTTGAGTCCAAGATTCTGCTTATACAACCCATGCAAAAAACATCAGAACTGCACAAATTATCCTTGTCATTACCTTCCACCAAAAGCCCACCTTCACTTTTCTTCCCCTTCTCTTCATGAAGTCCCTCCCCCCATTTTTTAAAGAAAAATACTGTATAAATTTGACAACCTGCAATCCTCTGGCCAGTGACATAATGGGGGTGATTTACTAACCTAAACACACGCACGCACGCACCAGGTGCGTGTGATTTTTACACAGCAAAACGTATTTATCAACCAAAAAGTCTCTAAAAGCATATTTCCACTAATGCCATATATGGAAAAATCATGCACATGATGCATATATAATGCTGCTTCACAGTTTAGACAAAAATGGTTAGCTCATGCATTTACATTCCTGCATTCATCAACGCAAGCAACACAACTTAGAGCTAATTTACACCTTGCAATTCATGCAGGGCTTTGCACAACACACCTGCTGGGTGTGTACACACTACAAAGGTGTTTAGATTCCACCCATAGATCATGCTGGGAGGGAACACACTACAGAGGTGTATACATGTTTGTGGTGTGTTTATAAGGTTAGTAAATCAACCCCAATGGGTCCTATCTCCTCTGATGGCAGTGCTGGATGAGGCACTCGCATCAAGATGGATAAACACTACCCTGTCCATTAGTATACCCAGGCTCCCAAGATGATGAGCCCCCAGGGGACATGTCCACAATGGCCTGGGCTCACAGGAAGTGGGTTATATTTCGATGGGTGTCATTCAGCTTGGAAGAAGACCAGTGCTGATTCATCGAGCAGTGAGTCTGGGGGAGGGATGTGGGTGTAATGACAGAGAGAAAGTGAGTATTACAGCAAAAACGGCTTTTTTACTTTTAGAGCTGTAGGACTACTTATAATTAAAATATTTATAATATTTATAAAGTACATTTATAAAGTATAAAGTACATTGCACCCATAATTAATTTTATTTCATGCGCGGACGAGCGAGCATAGTGCACGCGCGCGCCATTCCATGCCACGGGTACTACCCAGGCTGGGGGAGGACTTCAGCCTTCACCACTTGCCCTCAGCCTTGTGACTGGACTCTGACAGGGGAAGCTTCCTGGTTGCTTTGACAGCTAGGGGGCGGTACTGGGTTCCCTGATTATTTAAAGCTGGTCAGAGCCTTGACTCATTGCTGAGTTATTCTACCTCATGGTGAACACCCAGCTCCCTCCTGTGAACCCGTTGTTTGATTTGACTTCCCGGCTACCGACCCTTTGACCACGATTTCTGCTGCCCGCCACGACCCGGAACTGGACCTGACTCCCCGATTGGACTATCCTTTTGTACTGCGATTTTTGGACTTTGTTCGTCCCTGCCAAGGGGTTCCACACCTAGCCCGTTACTCCAGCCCTGACACTTTATCAAGTGGACCATTGCCCCCTTTCACTAAAAATTCCATCAGCATGAAGCTCTGCATGCTGATTTTAAATCATCTTACATGCATTGGATAAACAAACATGTTTTTCATTTACTTACAAATAGAGTTTATCTACTTCCTGGTCCAGTTTTGGCACAAATGATGTAATTGTGCCCGAGCATTGCATCTTGGGAAGGTTACATCAGCAGTGCATTGCTGGGAAATCTCATCAGTAATCTCGTGAGATCTCAGGGAAAGGCATGGTCACATGTCCTAGTCACATGTTCCAGAGTTTCAGGAAGTAGAGGGAGAGCTAGTAACCTGCCCATAGTTAACATCACCACTGTCAGAAGAGTCGAAAAAGAAATAAGGTATGCAAGGAATACAAAGCCGGCAATTATCTAGAAGTATGTGTTTGTAGATTGTCATTACTAGACATTTCTAAAGGTGTGTTTGTTGTTATTTTAAAACTATGTTTTTCTTTAATACTTCCCGTAGAAAGTATTCAGTGATAACATTGTGCTTCCAGATTCTTACTCCTTACTCCTTCTTCAGAATTGTCAGTCATTTTAGTTTCTTTCTAGGACACCTTTCAATCGTTTGGCCACCAGTCTCATATGCATGCAAATCATAGTGGCATACCTATTTCTTTTTTCTAACAATTTAAATGAATTCCCAGCTTCCGAAATGCCCCCAAGCATTTTCTTCCCAGGTGACCTATTGCCATGTAAAAATTAGGCTTTCCTATTTACCAGGAGTGATGAATCAGCATTCATGTCTGTCCTTGGTACAGTAGAGGGGGGGAGTAGAAATGAGTTACATTTGTGTAAAGCATCATATAACACATATGATTTTAACGTACTACTAACGGCTGTGTTTTTATTTTCTGAAGCAAGCTGGTATAAATTAGTTGAGTACATTAATATAAATGTTTCCTTCAAAAAAACGCTTTTATCACAACCACAGCCTCGGGTCCAGTAAGCAGCTTCTTCTTTTCGTGCATCCATCTGATCCATCTTCTCGGGACTACATGTCCCATAATTCATAGCACCATTGCGCATGCGTGACCTTACTGATCTCTTCACAAAATGCTCTTAGGCTGTCAGTGCAGGAAGCACCATGACGTCAGACTGTATTTTCTCTTGAGAGTGAGCACAAATGGGTGGCTTCATGGGACTCATCAAGCAAAGAAGCCATCCTTATGCAGGAAGGCAAGGCTAGTACTGTGGGTAACACATGATTTAAGACAAAAGTAGAGAAGGTAAGAATTCCCATCAACAGTAGAAGTAACAACAAAATGTAGGTTATAGTATTAATATATATAACTATAATTCATAGATAACACATTATATTTACATTATGTCCTAAAAATATAATCAGAACAATAAATAAAGCTTGCCATACAAAGCTTGAATTTCATCTATTTGCTGCTGAATTGGCCAAAATTCCAGTCATGGGTGGCCCGCTTTTGGCACCATGTGACCCAGCTAAAGACGATTTCAAAATTGAAAATTTTTGGCCAAACAGTAAATTTATCAAATTACATGCAGTCAGGGTTCAGGTATTCAGGCA